AAAAATTTAAATATTAAAAAAATTAGTAAAAATCTTCGCAGGCAAATTTGCCTGTGTTACAATTTAAGGGATAATCATTCTCTGGTTGACTGGTGAATTACCAATTAATAAAGTATTGGTAAAGTTGCCAAATTTAATTAAAAAAATAAAAAATAAAAAAATATATATATATATTTAAAACCTTTTTTTATACTAAGTTAATTACCTTTCTAGTTTAAAAAACTTTTGTAAAGCTTGTTAAAACATATTTAATAGTAGTTAATCATTTAACAAGATATTTTCAAAAAATAGTTTGCCAACTATGTAAATTTTTTTATAAACAATACATAATTAGCAAAAGATTTTTTAAAAATAACTTGGCATTTATTAAGCCAATTTAGATGATTTAACCACTATTAAACATATTTTAGCAAGCTTTACAAAAGTCTTTTAAGCCAGAAGGATAATTAATTTAGTATAAAAAAAAGTTCAAAATGCACATATACTATATTAGGAAAATCCTAATTTCTATAAATGTATCACATTTTACTATGATCACTTTCTAGTTGATTAGTAGATCACCAATTAAATTTAAATGAGTTTTGGCTACTCTAATAGGTCTAAATTAAAGGTAAGAACTTTAAAACATGAAATAATGTATAGTATAGCCATATTTGGATAGTTATCCAAATTTTATATAATATAAAATAGTAATTACTCTTGACTTAAAAAATGTTTTTACCTCTAGTTTAGATTACGGATAAAGTAGTTTAAGTTTTTCCTTATATATAATTTATATTTATATATTTATTATGTAATTATTTATATAAATTACTTAAAGCATTAAGTTTAATAAAGATAAAAACAAGGTCTCAAACATTAAAAAAAAATAAAAAATTATATAATACAGTAATAAGAACAAATTTTAAAATATACTGTATATTTTAAAAATAGACGATTTTAATACTCACCAGAGGTGAAATTAACCGGGTGCTATATCTCAAAAACGACTACAGTACTAAACAATTAAAGCTAGAATATCTAATTAAAAGTGTTCAGATCCCTGAAAACCTTACGAGAACTAAAATCGGGACCTTATATCTAATCTACATTATGTTATATAAACCCTTCTTTATCTTAAAAAACTGCACCCTAACCCTAAAAATTCTTAGGCTGTTGAATTTTACCATCGGTGAATATAAACTAAATTCATATAAAAATTATACAGTACAATATATATGTATAGTTAAAAATTTTTTTTAAAAAAAATTTAATTATCGCAAATATTAACAAATACAATTTATTACATTTAAATATGAGCTAATACAAATACTATCAGAAAAATGTGTTAATTTGTACATAATAAAATGTACTTACTTGGTTTTACCAATCCAAGTATAGTGTGATCAAAGATCATATACGTATATACCAATGAACCATAATAAAAATGGCACTTTGCTTATTATCGACAAATTTAACTTACCATTTCTTAAATGGTAAAAATTTACCATCGAATATTATTTTCACTCTGGTTGAATCATCATTCCCTTTAACCTAATACGTTTATAGTAAATCAACATTAACAAATTATATTAAAATAATAATATATATTTTAAAAAAATTTTTTTTTCCTACCTTTTCAACATTTGCAGTGAAATCAATTGCAGACATAATTCCATCACCAAACTATAAAAGGAATAATTATTTATTAAATATGTAATGATGAATCGTGAATCGGAAGTTCGAAATTTACCTTTTCATTAACAACATCCTTTAACGGAAGTCCGTAAATCTATTAACCAAAAGTAAAGGTTGAATATTATAAAAAAAAAATTAAACAGCAACATTTAAATCAGTTTTTACCTGCATGATTTCATATAAACGATAAATAAAGGGATCTCTGGGAGGAAGTTCAAATAATCTATGATTCACAAGATTATCTCATCAAAAATATCTTTTTTTTTATATCCAAAATAAGAATGAAATAATAATTTAATTCGCTTTACCCTCCACGTGTAGGAAAGAAAGTCTGTCCAATATCAGTTGTAAGGTATTGTTGTGGTAAATCCAAGATTGCGCTTAATTTTTTAAGATCTGCCTCTTCAGGTTTTGCCTTTTTCAGTAAGGATAATCCAATAGAAACAATACGTAGAAATAATTCAAAAAATAATACTGGCAATAATAAAAAATGAAAAAAATAGATAAAAAAAAAACCTGGCCATAAAAGACGGCCGCAACCCAAACTTCATCTCTTCCAAGTTGTCTTCCAATGTCAGCAAAGCTTTTAATTAAAATTGGTATAAAAAGGAATTATAAGCCATGGAATTGTAAAATTGAGATATACAGTATATCATACGTGAGTTTTTTTGATGCTTTAGCTTCAAATAATTTTTGCAAGATAGGGGATAATTTGGTTTTTAATGTAGGCTTAATTACAGAATTAATTCAATTGAAAAATATTATTAGATAATATAATTTATTATAACATGTATTGCTTTCTTTCACAACTCACATTCATTCTTTAAACGGATAAAATATCGATGTTCAGAATTAAAGTAGATTGTCGCAATTAAATCAAAAATCAAACACATGTTTGATATGCATAAACCTGTTATGATATATTAACGTTAAAATGAATATTTTAACACGTTGTTTTATAATAAACAAGTATATTTTATTTTATGTCCAAAGATAATGAAAGTATTTTTCTGCCGTAGGGTTTACAAACAGCATGAATTCAATGGTTTACGTACATTATGAGCTTTTATAAACATCATTTAAGATCACTAATAGATATAGATAATCCTCGATAAATTGAAACTGAATTAATGCTGCTGGTTAAATCAAAGCATTTTGTTTGCACTGTCGAAATTATTTTGTTCTAGCGAAATGGTTCGGATTTTAAAAGTAAGTTCTCTCACAATACTATAGGTTGTGAGTTTAAACTAGAATGCACCGAAATGTTTCGTCCGGCGAAATAATTTCACACTGCTGCACTGTTGAAATGTTTATGGATTTTGAAAAGTAATTTCACCTGCAACATTAACTTAAAAACATCAACGAAAAAGCGAAATAAAGTGATCAGGTAAAATTTTCAAATTACCGTAAGATCGCATTTATTCATATGCTTTATTTCAATATATTCTTTATAATATCGACTTTTTTTTGTACGTGGAATATATATTTGATTCCACATTATTTTCTATGTCTAAAATTTAAGTGGTGAAACCACTTTGTTTTTTTTGTTTTTTTTTTGTTTTTTTAAAAGAAAAATAAAAATAAAATAGGCCCACTTATAATCTCATTTTACATTTACTCCAAGAAAAAAAAAAAATTAATATCCAAAAGATGAAAAAACCAAAATCTATTAGTTCACAATAAGTATTACACAAATTTGTAAAGAAAAAAAAAAACAAATAAAGAGCGCAACAAAAAAAAAAAAAATTCATCACAATAAATTGATGCGCTCGTATATAGTTTCTTTTTTTTTTTACTTATTTTTGTTTCTTCCGTCCGGTGGTAACATTCATCCAAACAGAACATTCAAAATTCACAACTTTAAGTAATGTAAAGAAAATCCACCATTATCGAAATCATATTCTGTTTGCCGAAATATTAAAAAAGTAATAATTTTGAGAAATGTAAACGATATGCGAAACAATGTTTGTAAACGAGATTCAGAAGTTACTGGCGGTGTTATTATAAAGGAAAATATAAATCCAAAAATGCAATAGCATTCAAAAATAATTTTGTTTTCTTGGTTTTTTGCTGCCTTTGAGAAATTTGGAGAGTTTTCGTTGTCAGCCTATAAAGATGGAGAATTTTAGGGATAATTGGCCATTAGGAAAACAGATTGAGTGTCACGGTAGGAAAAAAACGAAAAAATTAGAATAAGAGAGTTTGTATACATATAGATTTCTTTTAATTAATTAGAATAGTTAGGTTGCACTAAAAAACCCATTATTATAAAAAAAATTTTTTTTTAAAGTCCAAAATTGTGTACTACACTATCAAATGTTTATGAATATTATAAACAAATGATCAACAAAAACGATAAGATGGATGATTGCGAATGATATGACAAGAATTATTTCGAATTTTTTAAAATCTTTTTTCTAATTATCGTAATAAAAAATAAATTTACATACAAGTGCAACCATAGAGAAAGAAAAGAAAAATCAAAAACTTAGCTACACATACTACATGTAATAACTCCGATGAACTTTTGCCAAATTCCTCGCCTTCGGTGAGAGTTTGAATCAGCACCATTGTTTCCTTGGATACCATTGACGTTTCCACCGTTACCTCCGTTCATACCAGCACGACCAGAGTACGGATTATTCAAATCATCGACCCCAGAATTCAAAACTGCACTGTTATGTTTGTGCGCCTTTCCTGTCCCTCGTTGTGCTTTAGAATTAGTATGAACCAATGCAGGTGAAGGTGGAGTTTGTTGTTGGCTACGGTTCATGGAAGGGCCACGATTAAGTGATGAACGATGAAGGCGTGGATCAGACGATCCGTGATGAACGTGAAGGTGAGAAGATTGGTGAATTCCTGCGCTCGTACTATAAGGCTGAGAGGAGGTACCATGAAGTGTTACGTGGGTGTTAGTTTCAGGATTAAGAATACCGTCATCTTTCCGCTATTGATGTGTGTGGATCACAAACCAAAAAGCGAAAGACGATGGAATATAAATATAATCTTTGAAAGTATTCTTTATAATTGTCATAATGACTCCAAACGTTATTTTAAGAACCAAGCAAAAAAAAAAAAAACAGAAGAAAAAAAAAAAAAAAAATCAATATATAATTCTTACCGAGCCTGCCTCCCATCCTTTGCCATTATTTAATAGCATCCAATCATAAACACCATCTTCTACTTCATTAGAATTCTTTAAGACTTTAGTGAAAAGTTCTCTCAAAAAATCATAATCGGGATTTTCCTCGAAATTAAGCTTACGGACATAATTAAGGTAAATCCCAAATTCCTCTAAAAAAACAAAATAAAATAAAAATAAAACAAAAAAATAAAAGAAAAAGAGAGGAGAATCAGTATCAAATTAATGATGAATAAGAAAAAGATTTATTAAGGTATAATTGTAAACATACCTGGGAAACCTTCACATAATTCTTTGATTGGCGTTGATTGCTTTTTTTCACCAATTTTTTCATATTTTTGCTTATTCGTGGCTGCCTTAAGTCCTTGCCATGGTAGGCCACCTCGTAAAAAATACATAAACACATGACCAAGAGCTTCTAAATCGTCACGTCTCGATTGCTCTGTAGGGTATTGCATTTAAATACGTATTTTTACACTATCAATACAATGAATAATGAAATAGGTGTTGCAAATGTATTAATAAAAAACTCGTACAAATTAATGACTTGCCTCTTCCTAAATGTGTATTGATACTCATGTACCTAGCAGTTCCACTTAGACTTTTTCTTTCTCGATATGGAATATGTTGTTTTGTTTTTGGATCTCGATATTGCTTGGCCATGCCAAAATCGACAACATGAATTACGTTGGCAGCTTTCGTCCCCGGACGACCAATCAAAAAGTTATCTGGTTTGATATCACGGTAGATGAGATTCTTCTCATGAATGGTTTGTACCCGTGTAAGCTAATAATTATAAAATTATATTAATAAAAAAAAAAAGAATATATAAATATGTATATATAATATTCACTCACCATTTGCTTTGCTACCATAACCACTGTCTTAATACCAAATTTTCTTCCGCACATATCAAACAAATCTTCTAAGCTTGGACCAAGAAGATCAATGACTAGTATATTGTGCAATCCTTCTTGGCCGAAATAGTATACAGTCGGTATACCCGCTATATGTGAAAAATGGTAATTAGAATTATTAAATGTGAAAATATCATCTATATTAAGGTTTCCAGGTAATATTGATTCAAAAATTACATACGTGAGCCAGCCAAAATTTTATATGTTCTGTATTCGTCTCGGAGTTGAGGTGCATCACTCTTTCGTGGTTCCTAGTTTTTGAATTGAATTTAACTAATAAATAACTATTCCCTTGGTCATAGATAATATTTATTAACTGTATAAAAAAAAAAAAAAAAAAAAATAGAAAGAAAAAAAAAAAAAAGACGTACGAATTTTATGGCAACTTGTTGATTATTTAGCAGATTTGTCCCTGAAGTTTAACAAAGTAAATAAATGCATTAAACGAATGATGGAATATTAAAAAAAAAATAGATAGCAAGATATGATGGCTGTGGAAAACTAGATCTGAAGTGATTATTTTTTCTTTCTGATAAAACGTTATCAAACAAAAGCCAACAAGTTTCTTGCAATAATGAATTATAAAAATATCATTTTATGAACGTTTTTAAACAGATACTAAGCAGTTTAACCTAATAAACTAATAACCATGAAAACTCGGCGTATATATCAAATGTATAGGATCATAGTATTTGAAAGTTTTTAAATAAAAAAAAAATGATAGATTTTTTTTTTTTTTCGTTTACTATTAACATAATCTAAGTCAATCAGCACTGCAAATGAAATCCTATCAAAGGCATTTTCAAACTCCGAGAAAAGTAACATATTGTGACAGTGTCAAAAGAAAAGGTTAAATGTCCAAATAGAAAAAAATAGTTGATTTACCTTCAAAGATGACGCCAAAACTTCCCTCACCGATTTTCTTCCCAACTCTATAGTGTACGCCCACAACGTTTGAAGAGTGTAAACTATGCGTGCTAGCCATATTATTTGTCATGTGGTGGTGGTGATTTGCCGCCATTTTACTAGATTAAATATATTCACTTAATTTTGTTGGGTAAGAAAAAAAAAAAAAAATGCCTTTTATGAGTGTCGTATATATATGTATGTATATATGTGTGTGTGTTTTTTTTAGAGGGGCACTTTAAGATGGAAAGGTATGGAGGATAACTAACAAGGGATTCACAAAAGTTGAGCTCAAATAAATCAACCTGAAACTCAGTTTCTAATCGCTTGCAGCAGTTGGAGGGAAGATTCAAAGGCGCGAAAGAAAGAGGAAGATAAAACGATTGAAAAACAGAGAGGGAGTTTCAGCTTCAGAATGAATAATTGTGGAATATGTCTTTTATATTACGTATCAATTTATCAAGTATAAGCTGCACACAAACTTCCACTGCTTTATATTCTACTTTCAATGCCTATTATACTTTATCGCTATACTTAGATATCACATAGCACTGAAAACTTTTTATATCACATGATCATCGATCTCCAAAGCACGCATTCGGCATTAAGGGTAACTTCTACACGTGCATGATTTTATTTTAACGACGAATGTGATATGAAAATACTTATCACTCTAAAGTCGTTATGCATGCAACCAAAAAAAGATGATTGGGTGTAAGTTCGATATTTGGATATAGCTTTTAAAAAGTTGATCTATTAATAGAACCTAACATAACGACAAATCAATTAGTCCAATCGCGCTAGATTTGACTGTGTCTATTATAAGATGCCAACTGCAAACCCGATACCAATTACCCAAAACACGACAGTAATCGTTCACCCACTGGTATTACTTTCTGTTGTAGATCATTACAACCGTGTAGCCAAAAACACTAAAAAGCGTGTAGTTGGCGTTCTTTTGGGTCAAAATAATGGCAAAACTGTTAACGTCGCAAATAGTTTTGCTGGTACGCAACTTTTTTTTTCTTCAAAGGTATAACTTAGCAACGATTTAACATATTTAAAAAAAATTACTTTGTTATTTCAAATATAGTTCCATTTGAAGAAGACGAACGAGATCCATCGGTCTGGTTTTTGGATCACAATTACGTAGAATCAATGAATGATATGTTCAAGAAAGTTAATGGTATAGTACTTTGTCAAAAGGGTTTTTTTTAAATATATATATATATATGTATATATGCTTGCTAATTATCTTTTTTTTAATGGTTAGCTAGGGAAAAGATGATCGGATGGTATCATAGTGGGCCAAAACTTCGTGCATCTGATTTAGAAATTAATGAATTATTCAAAAGGCATACGCCAAATCCAGTTCTAGTAATTGTAGATGTGAAGCCCAAGGATATTGGAATACCAACGGATGCATATTTTGCTATCGAGGAAATTAAAGATGTAATTATATATTAAGTTTTGTAATGTTGATTTTAAAAAAAGGGCAGTTAATTATATATACTAAATAATATTAATAGGATGGTACCGCCGCGACTAAGACGTTCATGCATGTCCCTTCTCAAATCGAAGCAGAAGAAGCGGAAGAAATAGGTGTCGAACATCTTCTTCGTGATATCAAGGATAACGCGGTTGGCACACTTTCCACTCGAGTCACAGACCAATTAAATTCATTGAAGGGTCTACAATCTCGATTAGAAGAAATTCGGGATTATCTTCAAAAAGTGGTTAATGGCTCTTTACCTGTAAATCATCAGATTATTTATAACCTCCAGGATATTTTTAATTTGCTGCCAAATCTTAATATTAGCGAAACGGTGAAATCATTTTCTGTAAAAACAAATGATCAGTTATTAGTTATTTATTTGTCCTCTTTAATTCGGGCTGTGATTGCACTTCATAATCTCATCAATAACAAGATTGAGAATTTAAAAGGTGAAAGTGTTCAAACTGAGGAAGATAAAAAAGAAAGTAATCCATAACAGTCAGGGAATATGTCACATAGAATGTTGGATTATATAATAAAAATATATAAAATTTCTATATACTTTAAGCCACTCATCCTTTTCCGATCACATCTTCAATTTTGTGACTAAATAGATCAAGTGCGGTATTTTAAGATACCTTAGGACAACATTTTAAAATTTTGTAAAGATAGATAGATATTTTGCTTACAAAATATTATGGAAAGTGATATTAAAATTTGAAATCACCATTACTGTGTTACATGCAAAATTTTATACTGAATAATTACTTGAATGAAAATAGGTAGTTAATGAAAAAAAAAAAAAAAAGACTAACTTTTTTTTTTCTAAAATAATCTGTTTTTCCCCTTTTCAGCAACACAAAATTTTACAATATTCCTTAACATCCAATTACTTCTTACCAAGTAAAAAAAATTTCAGTCAATTAGCTTTAATTTTGTCTTTAAAATTAATAATAATAAGATACATACTTTCTAATTACTTAAAGTGTTAGGTAAGTGGACGTTAAATGATGCTGAATAAAATGCGAAGACAGATTATCTTTCAAATTTAACCGTTTGATCTGTACCCAACCCCTTTTTTACAAGTAAAAACCTGTTCAATATAAAATTTTACATGTTATTAGAGATTGGGAAAACCTCTACCCGGATATATTATTAAATTATCCTGATAAATTATATGTCACATCTACCCGGGTACAATCCCTACACGTTATTATGGTTTCAACGCTATCTAAAGTACATATGTACTTTAATCTATTGCTCTTGATCTAGACACTTATAATATGAGTTCGCGTCATGTGATACCAATTTAATGATCGTTGTGAACAGACTGGCGTTCATTAACGTGAACATCAATTTTCTGATTGTAATTTTGAGCAATATTCGACGGTTAAACATATAGCAAAATTTTACGTATTAAATTGAATTTATATTGATTTGAAATGAAAGCATGAACTTATATCTACAAGTCGAGAATTTTAAAAGTACTTCGTATACGCGTATGATCTATTATAGTATTGTGAGGTGGTGTTAACCATCGTTTAACGTTAACGTCTGAAAAGCTAGCTAGATGTTGTTAAAGATAGCAAAAATTATAATTTTCTAGTTCTTAATCAATTGAAAGTAGCAGCCTCCGAGAAATTATTGCTTTTTTGTTATGTGTATCGGTATTTAATTTTATTATTATTACACATATATATCTTGCTATACAGTATTTTTGAATTGCCTAAAATGGCGATGATTTAGGCTGTATATATAGATTATATAATAATACAATGGCCGAATAAGCCGATAACATCCCTTATTCATTTCACAATAGGCATTTTGTTCTTTCTACGTATCTGCTTCATAACAGTAACCATTCCAAATTCATCACAGTGTATGCAATCGACTTTAAACCCATGTGACTGAATCTATTTTTTTTTAATACATAGAAGGTAAATAAGAAAAGGTATAATAAATAAATAGATAAAGCCAGTTAAAAAAAAATATTAATAAATTAATTATATTAATTATATCAATAATTTAATATCCGAAATTTTTGTTCCATAGTTAAAATATTACTAATAACATTTTTCATGCCACTTTACTAAAATTGTATCGTCACTTACGAATTTTGTCACATATAGATGTGGTCACCTATTGCATATTATAATTGCATGATTGGGCGGACCATGCATGCCGATATATCACATAGCAATTGTTGAAGATGCCGAATTTATTGGTCACAATTAAAAAAAAAATCCGGTCTATTCAGAGATCACCAATTGAATTTTCTAAAAAAAAATTCGTATTTACAAGTTTAGTAATTCTTTAAAGTGCTTACGTGTGTATTGTAAATTATATACAGTATCGATTCAAACTTAAATATCAAAAATTTTTTTAATTGGTTAAAATAGTGTAAAATAGTGTAGTAGGATTTGAAAGTGTATATCGATATGTATATTTTATATGTATGTATATATACATATATATGGTGTGTAATAACGTTTAAATAAAAAATTTGGTTAGACTTGGTAGCTTAATTCAGTTGCAATATTTAAATATACTGTATACGACATAATAAACCTTTACGATTACGCAGCATTATAAAGAATTTAGAAGTTTTATTAAAATCTTATGAAAAAATACTTTTTTATTTATGGCTTACCAATTAAATTACATTAAGAATTTTTCCAGGCCGAAAGGGGTTCGGGTTTCAATTATAAAGACGAGTGTAACTTTTGTACTCGTAATTAGTTATACCAATCAAGTGCAAAATTAATATAAAATCTATATAATTGGTATACTGTATTAATTATAACAAATAGTATTTGTATACAGAATTTTTAAATGTTTTAGTTAATAATTAAAGCTAATACATTGTCAATTTTTTTATAAATAATTATACCAAAAAATTTAGTGTTTTTTTAAAAATGTTTATTTATAAAGGTTGTACTGTATTTACTGTACTGTATATAAAATTTTTAAATTTATACTATATATACTGTATATTATAATATTACTATACTGTATTATACAAATATTACATACTGTATATAGTTAACTTCTTTAAGTATATGTTTCTAAATACAGGTTATATTAAATTCTCTTTAAAATACAGATTTTTTTTAGTTTCAAGCTATTGTATATAAAGTTATAATAAACTTATATTTTTTAAATACAAATTTTTTTAAATATAAAATTTTTTTATTTAAGAAAATTTTAAATTTTAGCAAGCTATATTTAAAGAGAATTAACTATATAATATATAATAATAAATTTAACTAATAGCTGATGAATTGCAGATTCAATATCTGAGGCAGATAGAGAAGAAGTAGCAATCACACATAGGTACTAATAGGCAACCGGATAAGCCACACTTTAGTTTAAAATAGCATAGCTATAAATAGAATATACATTTATTTCAAATATAAACTCTATATTATAAAATAAAATTGTAACATAATTGTCAAAAAAAATAAATAAATAAATAAATTTAATTAATTTTAACTTCTAGTTAAAATTATTAAATTTAATTATCCTTTATTTTTATAGAATTTTTTTATATAAATAAATATTCTTTAAAGATTAATGTTAGAATA